TCACTCATTTAAACCATAGGGACAGACTGTGCCTCAAAATGATCAAAATTGCTTTTATTTTTAAGTATTCATGACTCAGCCATCCATTTGCACCCTGTTTGTGTTCTACCCAGGAGGAGAACCTGAGTTTTGACATCTCATAGTCTGGTTTATTTCTACCAGTGTTTGCTTTTTGCAGTGTACCCCCAGTTTCTTTGCTGGCCTTGTGGCTGGTGCTATGACCTAAGACACCAGGACCATAAGACTGCATTCAAAAAGGAGGCTGATGAGAAACCCTGAAAACACCAGTGCAATTAGTGATATGAGCTTTGTGTTTCCCTCCCTCTGTTCTGTTTGAAATACCATCCAGGATCACTCTTGGAAAGTTAGAATTTTCCTCTTGTGTCATGGGCATGTTCACTATCCAGATGTCACCCTACCGCAGAATTTGTTACATGAGAGCACGGGAGAGAAAGACACAGGGACTCCCTGAAGTTGATTTCCTATGAGAGAGAGGGGAGGGAATTCAAGAGAAATTTAAGGACTGATGCTCCAAGAACAGAAACTCTCAGTGGTGTTAAAGCTGGAAGAAAACCAGAACACGGCCACAATGGCCACAGGAGAGCAGGAGTCTTAGCAAGACTGGGCCCTCTGGATCAGGACAATGTCAGTACACAGGGTGACTTCTCTGCCAGGAGGCTCTGCAGAGCCTTGTCTTGTCTTCATTTCCATGTAGCTCTTGGGGTCCACGATTTGGAATTTATAACTACGTAGCTTAACACATCTGAGGAGGAGGCAGTTATGCAGTTCCTGGGAGAAGTTAAGGGCACTCAAGAAGCTCCCACACTCTTTTAGATGAAAACACACAAGTAACACTGGTTTTTGTATAAATAAAACTGCCATTCTCTCCCAATAGATAATGACATAAAAGGCATCAATATGATTTAGAAAGTTGGCTCACTGGGTACTCTTGTGCCCTTTCCCTGGGAGCACAGAGTACAGGTTTTGAAGTCCACATTCTATGGTAAAGGTGCAACAAAGCCAGGAATCATTTGCATAGTATAATATGCTCTCGTAATAAATGAGTATCTTAAAGGAAGTTCTCAAATAGTTCTTGCATCAAAGAAAAATTTCATTCCTTAATTATTGATTATGTTTTTAGAACAAGAAAATGCTACTTTAAGGATGATAAATTTCAAGCTATAGCCTCATATAATGATTCTACTCAAGCTATCGTGAAAAATGTCTAAGTAACACCTAACAAAAATGCAAAATCTATAACATTACTTCCAGAAGTCTGTGAGGAGGGAAAGTATAGCATGTCTTGACTGAATAAAAATCTGAGATAAGTAAGAAATCACTCGAAGGAAGTAAAAAATTAAGTAAAAGGAGGTGGAAAACTCTCCAGATTAGTCTCAGTTTAACATAATGTGCCTCCAAACCATGGAGATGATAATTTGGAATTCCAAAAAAAATTGGGAGCTAGTACCAAATAATTAGAAATTATTTAGAGTATTAGTAACAACAGTGATCCAGTAATCTCTCTGGCAAAGGAAACTGGGGAAAGCTTTGCCTTTTATGTTAAACAGAGTCGATACTTTTAACAAGGAAACAGTTCTAAAAAAAAGTTCTAGAAAATCAATAGGAAAAACCCAGCCACCGTGCAGCAGGAAATTCACAATTCATTAACAATGCCTATAACTCCATATCCATTAGCTACATAAATTAGACACTAGCCACATACGTTTTTGTTCAGCATATGTGTGTGTGTGTGTGTGTGTGTGTGTGTGTGTGTGTGTGTGGTGTGTGTGTGTGGTGTGTGAGTGTGTGTGTGTGGTGTGTGTGTATGTATGTGGTGTGTGTGTGTGTGTATGTATGTGGTGTGTGTGTATGTGTGGTGTGTGTGTGGTGTGTGGTGTGTGTGTGTGTGTATGTATGTGGGGTGTGTGTGTGTGTATGTGGTGTGTGGGTGTGTGTGTATGTGTGTTGTGTGAGTGTGTGTGTGTGGGGTGTGTGTGTGTGTATGTGTGGTGTGTGTGTGTGTGTGTGTATGTGGTGTGTGTATGTATGTATGTGGTGTGTGAGTGTGTGTGTGTGGTGTGTGAGTGTGTGTATGTGGTGTGTGTGTGTGTGTGTATGTATGTGGTGTGTGTGTGTGT